CACAAAGGCATACATTGAGAAACCAGTTACAGACCCTCTCAACATACAGTGGATGGTTGCGGAGATTCCACAGCAAAAGGAAGGATCACTGTAAAAAAACTATTCTCTCTTTCTAGATGTTTAATTATTTTTTTTTTATAATCATTTGTTAAATAATTAAATTTTTTTGTCTTATGCAGCGATTGTGGTGTATTTGTGGCTGCTTTTGCGGAGTATGTTAGCCTTGGAGATTTGTCAATCCCTTCAGAAGACCTTTCGAATATCGACCAACACCGTAGACGCTATGGAGCTCTCCTATGGGACTATGCTACAAAGAAGCAAGAAGATGGGTCAATCAGTGAAAGTGAGGTTACATGCAGGCTAGCAAGGAGGAAGGGTGCTCCTGCTTTGAATGAGAAGACTAGAGTCCAGAGAAAAAAGAAATAGTGTCCTGTTTTCCTAGTTTAGTTGATGCCAATTTGTAGTTGAAGGAGAATACACTACTTTATGAACAAAATTTTTATTTTTTTATTGCAGCATACCTTTTTGTTTTGTTATTTTATCTTTCAATATTAGTTGTTCACTTGAATATAAATTGGTTGTTTACAGCACTGTATCTTCATTATATTAAACATGAGTATTTTGATGTTAGAATACAATTTGCCTACAAATAATCTTCACAATATCTACATTTTGGAAACACTCAATGTAGTTATTGTATATAATTTTGTAGTTGTATATGTTCATATTTTTTATGAAATACCTTCAAATTCTAGGTAATATCTGTATATAACTGTCAGTTGAAGTTAAATTACACAACAATCAGAAAAAATAAGTACTCCAATCATAGAAATATATTATCTACAATTTATCTACAAATCATCTACAAATTATTACCAAGACTACAATTTAACTACATTTAACCTATATTTTACCTACAATCTGGAAACACTTTACATTAAAGTTACTTTTTTAATATCAAATGTATTGTAGATAATAAATATTAAAATTTAATTACACTATATCAAAGACAAATTTAGATGCCTGACACAATACATAAAAGCATATTAAACACACATAAACAAATTTGTAGTCTACTTCATAATGATCTTTAAAAACTTAAACGATTACACAAAAAATCTGCTAACTTTAACTCACTAACAGTTAGTTTGAATAACTATTCTAACTACATGATATTCATTTCTTCTTGGGCGCATTCTTGCAAGATCTTTTGTTATGCCCTTCACCTCCACAATTTCCACATGACACCTTGTACTTCTTTGACTTTATTTCATCATATGTTTTATATCTTTCCTTTTGAGGTCTCCCTGGCTACCTTTTATCTCCCGTCGGTGGATTTACTACGTCATCCAAAATATGTTGTGGCACATACTATTTGCTTTTATCAAGAATATGATTTACTGGTATTTCATATGTACGCAGAAGGCTCTCCCTTGTGTAATACGGAGAGCAATAGTTTTCATATGTTTCATTCCTGTGCCTTAATGCTGCTAAAGCATGTGCACATTTAAGTTCTTCAAGTTGGAATTGGCCACAACTACATTTCTTGTTTTCTAGACACACAATGTATCGCTTCAAACCATCTAACATAGTATGTATATGATCTGTTGAATCCCTCACCTAAAATTACAGAACAAACAGAAAAAATATTATCTCAATCATAAAAATAAATTATCTACAATTTATCTACAAATCATCTACAAATATTCTACACCTTATCTACAACCTACAATTATCTACAATTTGACTATAATTTATCTACAATCTGGAAACACTGCATATTAAGTAATTTATTTTTTCTGCACCAAATAAACAGATCTTACCCTAAGCTTCTGAGATTATATTCTTTTGTTCTCTAATTCTTTGTTGAATTTGGACCCAAGAAATGTGAAAGTACCCTTGTGAAAGTACCCTTCGCCTTCAATAACTTCTCGTTGGTCCAACGTTCTAGCAGTGTCTATATATACTCTAAAAGATCAAATATCGACAGCTCTCTTGCATCTTTTGTTACAACGTTCAACGACTCTGCAATATTTGATGTCATTGTCCACGTTCTATTCACAGTTGCATGTACTCTTGACCATCTATGATAGCCAATATCATATAGGTAAGATTTCACATGCGGGTCTACCTCTTCAATCTTCGACATTCTTTCATTAAATTCATCCAGAGTGTATGACCGTGCTGTAGCAAAGTACAATTCATGTAATAGTAGATGACCCTTCTTGAATTTTGACCTTATATTTGTCCAAATATGCCACATGCAAGAGTAGTGTGGCATGTCCGGATAGACAATTGATGTTGCCTTCAGTATACTCTCATTCCTATCTGAAACGACACACATTGAAGGCCATTCACCATATGCCTGCTTGAATTGCTCAAAGAACCACTTCCAAGATGCGTCGTTTTCAGAATCAACCACAACATATGTCAAGGGCAATATTGTACCTACATTATTAATTCATAAAATATTAATTGGCAGCTTTGAAAATGTATATAAAAATATAAATACATAACAACTACAATATATCTTCATAATATAGACAATTTATCTACATTTCATGTAATAGCTACAAAATAACTACAATATATATACATTTTATAGACTGCCTACAAAATAACTACAAATTTTTTACACTTTTTACCTGCTGCATCCATGGTGCTTGCTGTCAGCATAATCCCCCTGTAGGCTGACTTTAAGAATGTCCCATCAACCACTACTACTGGCCTACAATGTTGCCAACCACTTATTGATGTACAAAGAGAAACAAATACGTATAAGAAACATTCATTTGATGTCTTCTTCAATTTAACAACCAAACCAGGATAAGTTTCCTCAAGAATATAAAAATATTTGGGTAATTTGCTGTAGGAGTCAGCCGGATTCTCTCTCAAAAACTGTAAAGCCTTTTCCTTTGCTCTCCATGCTTGCATGTAGCTTAGGTTCACTCCGTGTTCGGATAACATGTCAGTTTGTATGTCCTTTGGTGTGTAAACAGTCTTAGGATCACAATACTTTGGAATGACCATGCTACCAACTACAGCTGCAGTACGTTTGCGCTGTATGAATGTTTCGTCCATTAAGGAGCATGTGTGTTGTCGGTTGAAACTCCTTATCTTGAACATTGCGGAATCATTAATTGACGTTGCCTTGAAGTGCCATTTACAGTTTTCACCAATGCATACAAGCTAGTAACTACAAAAAAATACAATATTTAATACAGATTATAAATGTAGATGCAACAAAATCACTGTTTTAACATAAAGTAACATAAACTACAATATAACTACAATTTATCTACAATGTTTAAAAAACACATATCTTGAGTAAAACACTGCTTTTAATGATCTTTTCTCCACAAATATCTTCATACCTTCTATGACTAGATCTTTTAACTCTGAACTGGAACTTGTGCATCACAGAAAAGTGCTTCATTGCAGCAGCTACAGTTTGCTTGTCCTGATACACTTGTCCTTCTTCAATAGCAGTTGCGTAGATTCTGTTATTATTTCACTTTGATATTCCTCTATAGCTGGAGAGGATGGCATATCAAGTAACTTTAGGGATCCAGACAAACCTGCATCAAAATAAAGATAAACAGTGTCATTATAATTTTTTAGAATCTTTGTAGATAATTTGTAGATATAGTGAAAATTTTGTAGTCATCCATTTTAGGATGTCAGACATTGTAGTTAAATTGTACTATAACTGTTGCAATTTGTAGAAATTTGTGAAAACAATACTGCTTCGTACATAATTAAACTGATTTGTATTTTATTTGACTAGATTTTCTAAACATAGATTGTAGTTTTATTTGAAGACAACATTTTGAAATTAACAATTTCTAATCATAGATTGTAGTTTATTTTGTCGTATAAATGTAGTATTTTTTGTAGATAATTTTGAAAATAACATTGCTTTATTCTTTCATTAAGCTGATTTGTAGTTTAATTGTAGGTAAATGTAGTAATTTTGTAGATAATACCGTAAAATCATAATTCTATGCAATTTCGAACTATACAAACCTGCACTTGTGTTATCGTTGGTGACAATTCCATATTGAAATCTCGTACACTTATACATAACAGATATGAACCTAAGTTTTTATTCTCCTTTTTGGTCTCCATATACACACGAACCCCCATATCATTTTTAATCTCCATTGGGGGACAATTGTTGTTCATCATGTATTTGATTTCTACAATTTTTTCTGAAGTATCAATCGATAGTTGTTCTGCAATTGTAGAAATCAGAATACTGTAGCTTGCATTCTCATCTACCACAATGGCATCAACTTCAAAATCTCTAAATCTGCCATAGTTATCCCAATTCTCATTCAATTGTAGCATGATTGCGATTTTGGACATGATTGCGTGTTGTTGCTAATTTATTATTCTAAATTTTTTCGTAATTGTAGAAATCAGAATACTGTATCTTGCATTCTCATCTACCACAATGGCATCAACTTCAAAATCTCTAAATCTGTCATAGTTATCCCAACTCCCATTCAATTGTAGCATGATTGCGATTTTAGACATGATTGCATGTTGTTGCTGATGTATTATTCTAATTTTTCCGTTTTTTTGGATTTCTAGATTGAGAGAAACAAAGATGAAGAACAGATATATGATCGCCAATTTGATTTCTCAAAACGACGAAGAACAGAATATAGCAATGTTGAGTTGTTAAATCTCGAAGATTTGAATTCTACAATTTGAATTCAGTTTGTTGAAGTTGTTCGTAGTTTGTTGAAGCTGTTCGTACTTTTTTTCAAAAAAAAAAATTGAATTGTAGTTTAAGAGTAAATTACGCAGATAAGAAATCTCCTTTCCGTTTCAAAACTTGAATTTAATGTAGAATCAATCAATCCCAAGATTCTTTCCTGATTTTTCGCGCGTTATTAAGGGAAGATTCTGCCCTATTAATTCCTAATAAACGAATACAGAAATTATAGGAAAAATATGGACTAAGCGGGTAATTTAGATACTATGCACATAATTGATAATAAAGTTTCATATATAGTATAGGAAGGAAAAAATCCCTATCTAATACAAATAACACTTCTTCACACGTTGGGTAAAGAGGGAGAGATAACATAATTGTCAGTGAAGGCCCAAAATGGTGAAATCACCAAAATGGGCCATACAACATTTTAGTCCAGATATAGCTAGTGTCATGGCTGCTTTACACAAATGTTCCCTTTTTTAGGCTACTGTTTAAATTTTTTACCAATTTTAATAAATTATGCAAAACTAGTCCTTGCAAAGTTGCTCCTTTCTGACAACAACGTTAAGACTCATGGATAATGTTTGCTCATTTAATATTTAGTTTACTCACAAAATATTAGATTGTAGTCTAGCGTTTACAATAACTTATAAAATTATAGATCGTTGTCTATGTTATAAAATAAAGACTATAAAGTAAAGACAAGTATAGAGAGAAATTGATATATTATTCGAATTCAAAATGATGTACATAATGAACTGAAATCTCTTCTATTTATAGAAGAAAGGAAGCTGTTGTGTAAACTGCTACGCAAGCTGCTGTGTAAGCTGCTATGCGAGCTGCTACTATACCAGATATGGATAATCTTCTACTGAGAGCAATGTTTATCCATAACGGAGTACTGAA